TAGCTTGTTTATCTAGGGTAATTAACCTTTTTGGATTAGTTCATTTTTTAAAATGGATACTACACATTGTTTTGAAAACTTAACAATGTGCTAAAAATTATCAACATATTCAGAGGCAATCTAGTTATTTGCAGGCTTACTGTTATAGTTACAGCTATGATGTCCTGACCTCTTACCATAGACTAGGACCCCTTGTCCTGGCCAATTCACTAGGAGTTTTTTGGTAGAGCACAGAATAAAATATATTATTTGGAAGCACTTTGAAAACTGCAAAAAGCAAACTCGTAAATTATCCAGATGAATGGAATTGTTAATTGTCTTTCCTTTTCCTCTGTCCTTCCCTTCTCCACTCTCCCAGTCTCTACTTTAAGGGGGTAAAATAATCCAGTAACAAGTGACAGTATGAATGCAAATACTTTTATAGTGGAATATAGTTTTAATCCTCAGTTTTGAGGATTAAAAGCCTCTGAGGTGTTCTGTTGCTCTGTCTGAACCACGGTTTTGTGTATCTTTGTATACAGAGAGAGCCAGGTATTTATTTTGTCCTGTTTTTGCATCCCTCCATCCTCTGCATTTAGAGCACATGAGAGATACTGTGTTGAGTGACTGGGTCACCCAGTATTCTTCTAATGAGCTCCAAGATCTTCTGTTGTTGTAGCACCCCCTCCCCCAGCCCCCTGTCCTTAGTACAGTGATAGCCATATAGTTGGAGAAGGGAATGGCAACCCACTCCATTGTTCTTGCCTGGAGAATCCCAGGGACAGAGGAGCCTGGTGGGCTGCCGTCTACGGGGTCGCACAGAGTCGGACACGACTGAAGCGACTTGGCAGCAGCAGCAGCAGGAGGAGGTACATAGTAACCTCGTAATATATCCATCTGTTGGTTTGACCTGGGGCTTCCAGGTGGGGTGGCAGCTCTGGGACTTACTGCCACCTGGCCCTTTTCCCGCTGTGTTTGGCAGGGATCCCAGTTGCTGTTGCGAGTCACGCAGTCTGAGAGCCCATGTGTAGGCATGCACTGCCGATGCTGCTGGGTCTCCTTCCCGCCGCCCCGGGGCAGCCCCGGTTCCCTTTCAGAGGAGGTCGTGCAGGACATACTGTGGGTATCCATTAGTGAGTCATGATGCTGGAACCAGGAGGAACCTTTGAGGACATTTTAGTATTGCCAGAGTCCCATTTTTGTTGGGGAAGGAAACGGCAACCCTCTCCAGGATTCTTGCCTGGAGAATCCCATGGACAGAGGCTCCTGGCGGGGCTACAGTCCACGGGGTCGCAGAGTCAACCCAGCTGAGCTGCTTTCACTCGCTCCTCATTTTTGTAGCCAAAGACTGAAGTGTGCTATAGGCTCTGGGGGGTGGACACCGGCTCCTCCCTCCTGATGACTTTGGGGCAAACAATGTGATTGTCACTGGTCCCCATGCAACTATTGCAGTCGCTCAGATAAATAAACTCTACCAAGAGGATTTAGGAAAATTAGCAGTTACCTGGCGTCAAAGCTGACTCCTTTGGCAAATTCATTTTGTGTAAATCCCAGAGGTTCTCGTATTATTAGTCCAAGCAGTTCTTTATAAGCAAGGATGAAAGAGGTGCTTTATGTCTTACTATTTAATAATAAGCCACCAATGCTGAGACAGTCAACTGAAATACTTGAGGACTTAATAAAATAATAATCACTACACTTTGTAGTGTGTCTAATATATGCTGAGCATGCCACAAACCCACGACTCTCAGAAACAGCTGTTTGGGTAGGATGCGACAGCGGCAAACGGCCGAGAATTCCAGGCAGAACTGAGTGGACTTGGGCATGCCCTGGGCCGCCAGTAATAATGGTTACTATTATTATTTTTTCATCAGAGTTGATAAAATCGTGATGTGAGTTGAGGGAAGATGGAGGTGGGAAGGCTCTCAGGAGACTATTCCAGTAGGCAGAGGAGCGCTACGGAAGACCTGAAGTCGTGACTGTGGGTGAAGGCAGGTGCCGCACCTCCGCCCTGGAGAGGTTTGGGGTTGTCGGAGGCAGACTCTGCTGCTGAGGGAAGATGGAAAGGAGGGAGCAGAAAGACTGGAGGGTTTTCAGCTAGAGCGTGGGGAAAACCGTATGCCTTAAATCTCACACCTCAGGTCCTACTTAAGGTATTAGTCCTTAATTTTCCATTCCTTTGACTGATCTGTGTTATATAGTGTTGATTCAGGAAAGTTCGGGTGACTCAGAGAATGACTGAGATGCTTTCTAGGAGAAATCTAAATCTATTTGGATTTAGAAACCAGATGACTCCCCAGTAAGCAATCTGTAGCATCAGAGAAGCCGTTGTCTAATCCTGGGGACCCTTTCTATCTTCTCTATCATCCTGCTCTTTTGAGGAGTGAAAGACACAGACCTGCTCTTTAGTTGTACCTGCCTTCCTCTGCCTGACCACTTATCCCAGCCACATCTCCTATTTTCCGTACTAAAGGATACAAAACAGTTGCTTCATTTTCTTCCATTGTGAAAGAATGCCTATTGCTCTTTAAAAAGCTGAACATTGTAATATAATTGAATAAAAATTATTCTGTGCTTGATAATTACTTAGAAAGGAAATGAAAATAACATTTTCATGAATGTTAAACTTTCAGAATGTTTCAGACCGGTGTGTTTATGTAATTTCTTCCATTTGCCACTCAGTCATAATGGGTTTCTAGATAAAAACGATGCTGCATTTGGAGTCATTTTCAGGCCGGGCGAGGAGCGCTGCTGATGGAGGAGATTCGTGTCCTGGCTACATTGCGGTAGTGTAGCTGTCAGCGGGTTATTAATACTAAATAATCAGGTGGGCCTGGCATGTTCCTTTTGTATCTCTCGTGTGAGCATTGTTAAGGGAAAAATAACACTCTTCTGATGTGTGATGTCTCTTTCCTCTGAGACTGACTTTACGTAAAAGTGTTATCAGTGGCTCAGCGGTAAAAGAATCCACCCGCAATGCAGGAGATGCGGGCTGGATCCCTGGGTCGGGAAGATCCCCTGGAGGAGAGCAAGGCAGCCCACTCCAGTGTTCCTGCCTGGAGACTCCTGAGAGTCCACAGGGTCGCAAAGAGCTGGACACGACTGAGGCAGCTTCGCGCCCACCAGTGCCGCTTCCTCTTCCAGGCCACCTTCCTGAGCCGGGGATCCGACCCCCGTCTCCTGTCTCCTCCACTGGCAGGCGGATTCCTGACCACCAGGGCCACCGGGGAAGCCCCTTTTAATAGGAATCCTTATTGTTTCAGACCTGATCACGCGTTTTGTACAGCCCAGAAATCGTTCGACTGTAACAAGACGATGAGTAGATTTGTTCTACTGTGTTCTCAGCATTTCAGCTCAAAGTGGAGCGCAAAGGGCACAAACCACTCCACATTCTAAGGACGTTGCCAGCAGCTCTAAGGGAGGGGGTGCTTTTCTACCGCCAGGACCCGAAAGCTTCACTTTGCTTTAGACTTCCAGCTGGGGGGTGCAATGCCCGCCTCCTCTTCTGATACCTTTCATTCCCCTGGCTCAGGGAGGAAAGGGATCGCCCTCAACCTCGCTGCGTCTCAGGGCCAGCGCCCACCGCTGCGCCCGCTCCCCAGTCCTCTCTGTATCCTGACGGGGAGTTGGGGCAAGCAGGGGTGAGTGAACGTGAGGCCAGCTCTAGCATTTATCAGCAAGTCTCGAGGAAAGGGAAGCCGTGCTCGTTTGCTGGATACACTGTGGCTCGGGCTTCCCCAGTGGTTCAGCAGTAAAGAAACCACCGGTAATGCAGGCTGCGGTGACCCAGGCTCCCCTGGTGGATCAAACCCTAAAGGGACTCCCTGCAATGTGGGAGACCTGGGATCGAGCACCGGGTGGGGAAGATCCCCTGGAGAAGGAAATGGCAGCCCACTCCTAGTATCCTTGCCCGGAGAATCCCACGGGCAGAGAAGCTTGGCGGGCTACAGTCCACGGGTCGCAAAGAGTCGGACACACGCCTGAGCGACGGACACACACTGTCATGAAGGACACACTGGGGACTCTGGTTCGATCCCTGGGTCGGGAAGATCCCCTGGAGGAGGAGGGACGACCGTCTGCAGTGTCCTTGCCTGAAGAACCCCATGCACAGGGGAGCCTGGCGGGCTGCAGTCCATAGTGCCGAGGAAAGCTAGACACGACTGAAGCAGCAGAGCGTGCTCGGTAGATGGTAGTTTGTCAGCCTTGTCTGCACATGGAAATTATCCAAGGAGCGACGCCCAGGCTGCACCCTAAACCAGTTGGATCACATCTCTGTGCGGGCCTCCAGCCTCAGGGGCTTTGGAAGCGCCCCGGGTGATTCCGGGAGCAGCCAGGCTTGAGGTCCACTGCAGGGAGGGGTGGAGGGGTGCGTGAGGGTCTTTTATTCTCCAGGTCTGGGTCTTAGCCAAAATTCCTCGAAAACAGCAAGTATCTCACTCAGTATTTTGTCAAATAAACAAAGATAAAACTAAGGTTGAGGTTTAATCTGTCTCGTTGTGTAGCAGCAGGCTATGTTTGCCTTTAAGTGAAAGGTCACTATTTTACTTGGACTTTTTCTGAAGGGTAAAACGTACAGGGAAATGATAAGATTCATATATCTTATTTGCCATCTTGAAAGCTGCATTTTATTGTCACACAGTAAAATGAGTTTTATCCCAGCAAGATAATCTGGCGGAAGCAGTATGATTGTCATGGGAGACATCTGAGACATCTGGGTCCCCTGGAGACGCAGACGACAGTCTTATTCCAGCAAGTTCACTCTGTCATCCTGTTCTGACTGTGTGTCTGAAGAATTCAGGTGTTTCATTAAGAATGCCTGTGCCTTTTTCTTTGTTCTTTTTGGCTGCTTCACATAGCTTTCGGGGTCTTAGTTCCTTGACCAGGATCAAACCGGGTCCGGAAGTGAAAGCTCAGAGTCCTAGCCACTGAACCTGGAGGGAATTCCCAAGAAATGCGTGTGCTGGTTAAAGGCACCATTTCCCTGGCTTACTCATTTCTTTGTTTTTCTCACAGCTCAAGAGATGGCTGCCCAGTGCGTCACAAAGGTGGAGCTGAATATTTCCTGTGACAATCTTTTGGATAAAGACATAGGGTCAAAGTCAGACCCTTTGTGTGTGTTATTTTTGAATACCAGCGGTCAACAGTGGTATGAGGTAATATTAAAAACTTGCAGTTGAAAAGCCATCTGAATTGCTTTTTTGATAATATGAAGAGTTTATTTAAAAAGTTAAAAATAAAAGCATCTCATCTGTTAGTGCAGTTTTTCAGGCAAATTAGTCCTTGATTGTGAAATATTTCATATACATATAGACACTTCCTTTAGCTGTCATGCCAATATTTAGTCACATATAGGATATAAAGATAATAAACAAATGCCCCTTTGATCTGAAGAAACTTTTTTTGTTTTGGTGGGGTGAATATAGGTTGAGCGCACAGAAAGGATTAAGAATTGCTTGAATCCCAAATTCTCCAAGACATTTATTATTGATTACTACTTTGAAGTGGTTCAGAAATTGAAATTTGGGATTTATGACATCGACAACAAAACCATCGAGCTGAGCGATGATGACTTCTTAGGAGAATGTGAATGTACCCTTGGACAAGTGAGTATGAATAGTACAGATGTTTTCTAAAGTTGAACCAAAGCATCAGGTGTTTTTGATAAATTCTCTTTAGTTTAATTGTTGGGCTTTCCAGGTGACGCTAGTAGTAAAGAATCTGCCTGCCAGTTCAAAGACTTGGGTTTGATCCCAGGCTTGGGAAGATCCCCTGGAATAGGAAGTGGCAAGCCACTCTGGTATTCTTGCCTGGAAAATCCCATGGACAGAGGAGCTTGGAGGGATGCAGTCCATGGGGCCGCAAAGAGTCAGACATGACTGAGCAACTGAGCTGATGTTTGCCTTGAACATCATGGAATTTATCTTAGTTTTTATGAGGGTAGGGACCGAGGGTTTTTCGCAAAGCGTATTAGTTCTTATGAGTTAAAGATGTTCCATTTGCCGTGTCAATAAATAGTACCATTACTCTAGCTGCTTGTCTGTTTACAGATTTCAGTACAGTGTTGTTCTCACGTTTAGGACATACGTGCTGTCAAGGTGACGGCAACTTCTCTGATGTTCCGACTTGTGTGACTGATGCCTCTTGACCCCTGGATAGCCCAGCACAGCCCCTGGTCCTGGCTTGCTCCTCCTTTTGCCTTGGGTGTGAACCCAGCTCCCCCTCGCAAGCCTTCTCTGACAGCCTAGAGTCATTTGGGTCACCCCACTGTGCTCACGTCATGTCTGCTCCACTCCTTCTAGCTTAATGTTCACCATATTTTATTGTAGTTGCTCAATTTTCTATCTTTCTAAGATATCACAGGTTGGGTCGGAGCAGGGGTGTGTCTGTGAGCTCCCCATTGTGCTCCCAACTCGGTTTGACTTCTAAGGAGCGACAGTGACCATGCTTATGGGACTTTCAGGGGGAGGAGTTATTTTTTTCCAGTGGCTGACATCTAAGATTTGTCTTTTACGAGTTTATCTTTTAGTGTTGAAATTTTTTTGGAGCTCATGCTATTTCCAGTGTCTCAAGGACAACGTGGAGCTGATCAGATTTCTAAAACTTTGATAGTTGTATCAAAAAGAAAGTTAAAGAAGTATTTGTTTTTTGGAAAAAAAATCACAGTATATCTAAAATTATAGCAAATTGGAGAAACATACCTGTGTGAGAGTATCTGCACTTACTCTATTATTTTAATCAAAATGATGTCTTATGAGGATTATACATTGAAGTTATGTGTCAGTTGAGAAATTGACAGGTGACCCCTGTTACCTAAAGGAGTTTTGTTTCAGCTTGGTGATTTGTATATGAGATGAGAATCTGGCCCTTTTTTTTCTTTACAAGGAAAATTTGAAGTGGTTGATGAAGAAACTAGTGGTTTGGGGAGATTTTATACACCAGGATTGGCTCCTTGGTAGTCTTTTCCATTGGGTGCAGATGCATTTTGTAATCTCTAACTCTTTAAGGAATGGACTTATTCCATTTCTAATAACTTTGTGTACTTTTTTCTCAACAGTCTTTTGAAAACTGGTAAGTTGAAACATTCACATGTTGAAGTGAAATAGCTCTTTGTATCACTTTCCCATTTTAACAGATTGTTTCCAGTAAGAAGCTAACTCGACCACTGGCACTTAAAAATGGCAGACCTGCAGGGAAAGGGAGCATTACGGTAAAATAAGATCCTTTGAAATACTTGTCTTTTGCCTCCTGAGATTTAGCACGATAGGACAAGCTGAGACTGTGTATATCAGACAGACATTCTATAGCAGCTTTATCGTTTGATCCTGAATGTTGCCCTCCCCTCACCCTTGACTTGCCTTAGAGCGACCACAGATGGAAACTGTGTTGTTCCCAAAAGAAAGTCACATGCATCTTGGTAATGCTTGCCTCTTCCTAATGGAAGCATCAATTCCCAGATTAGGAAGAAATTACTTAATAATGTGACTGGATCAATTTGGCTCTCAGCAAATCAAAAATAGTCCCATTGACATGACAGAAACTTTCCATAATGGTTTTGATTCCCAAATGATCCTGTATTATGACAAGGCCATTGAACCGCTCAGCTCTTAACCATATTTTGTGTGTGTGTGTGTGTGTGCGTGTGCACTTTGCTATCCATCCTCTTACCTAAATGTTTCCTTGCTGAATGCTGGACCTGGGCAAGTGAATATACGCATTGTCTTATTTTAGATTTCAAATTATATAGTGCCATGCTTTTAAATGTTCTGTGTTCTAGAGTTGCTGTCCAGGTAGGCAGTGCCTGAAGAGACAGCTGTCTTAACTTTAGCTCTGCCTGGGAATGGGAGGCTGACTCCCTGGGAGAGTCGTGTTTGAGGATTATCACAACTATCGAATGCATTTCTCTAAGTAGTTGTTTGCTCTAGTTTAGGTGCCTGAAGCATAAGCATGTCCAGTCTGTTGGGAGTGTTGACGTCTATGTGGGGGACAGAGATCATTACCAGTAGTTAGCTTTATGGATTTTGGGACCATCATAGCCTGGAATTTGCTTTTGAGTAGAGTAAGTCTTTCAGTTACCTTGGCTGAAAAGTACTGAGCTGTTATTTGAATGTGTAGTGTTCTCTAGGTGTAACTTACTCATGCTTCTCTGTCTCTGGAGAGCTCTCGCTATCTTCTTGTGCAGGGCTTTGATTTTTTCCATCTGAAGAAGGAAGATCCAGTTTGGGCAACAACATTAAAAAGAAAGTTGCATAATGTAAATTAGGCATATTTTGGAAATATATTTATTTCACATGCATAAAGGAAATAATGACAAATCTTTCTTAATGGTACCATTTTTTTAACTTATTTTAGACTATACTATGTTAGTGTAGACTTTGTATTAGATAACAGGATAAATTGGTACTTCATGACTGTATTAGAATCCCCTAAACGTTTTCTTTTACTTTACCTTGTCTACTCATAGATTTCAGCTGAAGAAATAAAGGATAACAGAATTGTCTTGTTTGAAATGGAAGCAAGAAAACTGGATAATAAGGTAGGTGGGTGATGCAGATTTCAATAAGGATTTCATCTTTTTTTCCCCTCACATTGATTACTTTTTGAGAAAATAATAATGCAATTAATATTATGAACTCTGTCATCTAAAGCATCACTTAGAGTGTTATTTCCAAATTCTATTTTGTATGTGGATGTGTGTTTAAGCAGAAGATATTTCTCTTTACCTCTTTCCTTTGGATGTAACCAAAGAGTTTGTATAGCTTAAAAGAAGAGTCAGTACAAACATTAACATTATTGTAAGAGATATTTTAGAGTGTATTTGAATTACTTAAGGAAAAAAGCGAACATTCCATGCTTTATTGATTAGATTTTCCTCTTTGGGGCTTCTCAGGTGGCGCTAGTGGTAAAGAACCTGCCTGCCAATGCAGGAGACATAAGAGCCGTGGGTTCGATCCCTGGGTCTGGAAGATCCCCTGGAGGAGGGCTTGGCAACCACTCCAGTATTCTTGCCTGGAGAATCCCGTGGACAAAGGAGCCTGGCAGGCTTCAGTCCATAGAGTCTCAAAGTGTTGGACACGACTGGAGCACAGATATTGAATCAAAATTCAGCAAAGCCTTTTCTTTTTTGGAGAAGGGAAAGGCTACCCACTCCAGTATTCTGGCCTGGAGAATTCCATGGACTGTATAGTCCACAGGGTCGCACACGACTGAGCAACTGTCACTTTCACTTTCCTCTTTGCATTCAAAATTTAGGATGAGTACTAATGAGAACACTTAAGTATAGTGTATACCCTGGATTGGAATAATTCTTTGAGTGACTTTTGTATGTAATTCTATAATGCAATCAATATTCTTCATCATTTTCATTTACCTTACAATTCAGTTTGCAAATATCTTAGACTAGTAGACAGTTATCTTTTAAAAAATATTTTGGAAAAATTTAAACATACACAAAAATAGAACAGTATTTCTAAAAAATTCTGCATTCCTACCACCTATCTTTAAAAATGTTAAAACTCATGACCAATTTTATCTCATCCCTACTCCTATCTACTTTCTCTCCTCCCAGACATCATATCATTTCATCTGTCAGTGTAAATGTATCTCTAAGGACTTTTTAAATAATACAGTTGGTTAATGCATCTCTTACATTTTTTTAATCTTCAAGCTCTCCCCTTCCCTTCCTCTCTGTACTGCTCTCTTGTTCCCCCTCTCTCTTTCCCTCCGTCCTACCTATCCATCCATGAATTTATTCAGTAAACTGACTCCTTTGTCCTGTAGAAGTGTTCACACACAGTATACACTAATTAAATCCCTGTGATGTCATGTAATATGTTCGTCTCTCCGTATTTTATTTCCTGATTTCTATCAGCTGAAATTGAATCTAGAGGTATGATCTAGTGGCACTTTGAATCGGTATGAGTTTCATAGGTGGTGGCATTAATTCCATCAGGAGGCTCACATTGTCCAGTTCTGGTTTTTGGGGTATTAGTGACCATTGATGATAACTACCTAGATATATTATTTTATTGAGTCTTAAAATAGTGTTAATCTCATGCTGTTATTGCTGCTTCTTTTATTAGCAGGAATACTTCTCTCAAGAGAAGTATCTTTCTTCACATTAGATCTTTATTTATTCCAAGGTAGTTTATTCCAAGATAGTCCAGAAAAGGCAAGTTGAAGTGTTTGATTTTTTTTCATATTTACTATCTTTTAGAATAATAAATTTCTATAAATGTGACTTTTACAGAAGAACTTAAAAAATTATTTTTTTTTTTTAGTATTTCTAGGAACTCTATTAATTCTTATTGATACTTAAAGTATCCCAAGTTTGACCTATGGGAGGGAACCTATTTAAGTTTGTCCCTGAGACCATTTGGCATGGTCTCAGAAGTCTTTGGCTAGCTTCTTGCTCTGTGGCATGACGGATGGTCCAGGCTTATTTTATCTAATTTCTGCCCCAGATTGGCAGGTTAAAGGGAGCCTTGCTACGGGGAGTCCAGGATCTAGGGGTGCTTAATGTTTATTGGTTGTTGTTGCTCATTCTTTCTAGGACTCTTCAGTAGACAGCTGTAGGAAAGTCTTCTTTTTTAAGGAAAACTAAATCGTAAACTTGTATAACAAATTCCAATTCAAATGTAGAATTACAAGGCTGTTATTTCTTTAATTCTATAGTTAACGCCTTTTTTCACTTATGTCAAAATGTTGATTCCTAAGGAAACTAACGTAATTGCTTATGTTTTGCCCTATGTAATATCTAACAGTTTAAGAATACAAATATACATGTTATAATAAAAAATTTTTTCCTGAAAATAGTTTGACCTTTCTTTGGAGTTCCTTTTGCCTTTAGGGTCATATATTCCACTTGAATTATACGGATTTAATTCCTGTGTTTTAAAGGAGTAATTCTTCTCTGATGGTTATGCTGTAACATTAGCACATAATCAGATTTTGCTTTTGATATTTAGAGATTGCTTTAAAATTTGTTTGGTTTAATTTTGCTTTATAGTCATGTATAAGATGGTTCCAAAGCCAACAGAAAACAAAGTATATTCAAGAAATGTAGCTTCTTTCCCTGTCCACGCTGCATTTTTTTCTCTTGCTATATTTTATACTTTTGTAAAATTTATATTTAATGGCTTAATCCTTCATTTTCCAAAAAAAGAAGGTTTTTTTTGTGTGTGTGTATGTATTATGTATTTTGTGTGTATGTACACGTACGTCTCTTGTGTGTATCTCTGTGTGTATATAAACATACAAACAGATAGATATGCATGCATAGGTCATATAGACAGGTATGAGTGTTCATGCATGTGTATGTATATATTTATATTTCCATACCCCAGCCCAGCCCCAGTCTTTGATTAAATGTAGCATAATATATTAACATTACACATGCATTTCTCTGCCTTGCTTTTTTGACTTAACTTATCCCAGAGATCAGAGTCAGGGACTTTTACTTCTTATTTTAGTTCTACTGTTGACAGCTTAATCAACAGTCAAACAAGGTGTGTTTTTTGACCTTCAATATGGTAATAATGATATTCTGCCTTTCTCAAAAGATTATTTCTATGATAAAAGAGACAGGGATGTTCATATGCTTTTGGGAAAGTTAACTTCTCTGTGTATACTATATTGTTCTTAGTTTTATAAAATGGAGCACAGGGAGGCTTATTACATTGCTTAAATTCTTCTGAGAGAGAAGGTTAAATTTTACAAGTTCTGTGTAGTCTTTGTGTTTTTATTTTTGATTATGAGGGATGTGTTCCTTTCTTAACATTAAACTATGCTAAGGAGGGAAATAAAGTTATCTTAGTTCTTAATTTAATATTGAAGTAAATTCAGGATTGAAAAAAAATCTTCAGTTTAGGAATATATCTGCTTACATTCCTGTGGGCTTAATAGATGTCGTTTCACTTTCACAAATAATAAGTAATGTATGCTAAGGAGGATAGAAATTTCAAAATGAATATAAATAAAAATGAGAAAGTAAAGTCATCCACAATCTTACTATCTGAGTTTTACCCTTGTACATCTTTCCAGAATTCTGTCTCCCTGTGGAAGAGTGTCTGTGTGTGTACGTGTGTAAGATGGCCTTGAGGGGACGTTTGGACACTCTGTACCTGGGCGTTGTACAGGAGAGCTGTGCCGTGGTGAATTGCGGGGGAGATGGGGGGTGCACCTTGTGACCCCCAAGCACTTCTGTCGTGCACTTCACGTATCTGCTTGTCTGGGCTCCCCTGTGTTTGTGTAAAGAAGCGTGTGGGGCTGCTGAACGGGTATTGGACATCGAAGGGTAGGATGTGAAATCAAGGCTCAGATCCATCAATTCATCAGATGTGTGATTTTGGCAAAGTCATTTAACTCCTCTGAATCCACTGTGTCCTGTCTCTCACAGAGCTAGTACGACTAATGTATGGGATCATTTATATAAAACTACTTGGTGCTGTGTGAATGAGTGAATGCTGTTAATAATGAAAAGAAGCTAAAAGCATCCTGTGTTGATAATAGGTTCTGTTGGTCACTGTATTTTAAAGCCATCATGTTTTTTGAGATGTAAGGGTGTAACGATAGTGAGCATTTATCAGGAATGCCTTAAAAGTTCTCCTTGTAGACTTCAGCAAGTTTATGTTTGTGAGGAATGTATTGGGATTTGTATTTACTGCTGTATTGTACTATGTATGTATATATATATGTTTCTCTGTACAATAGAATTAAACTTCAGGTACTACAGACATGTAGCATGTATAAAGTGTGGTTTCACATGTTTTAGGAGGAGAATAATTGCTTTGCTTTTTATTTTAATGTAGGATCTATTTGGAAAGTCAGATCCTTACCTAGAATTCCACAAGCAGACATCTGATGGAAACTGGCTAATGGTTCATCGAACGGAGGTGAATATCTGAACTTGCAAAGTAGTGTTGAAGTTTCCTTTGGAGTTGTGGTACTCTGAATTTTAAAAATTTATGTATTTTTAAAAAATATTCATCTGAATTCAGATGTATATAACTGCCAGAGACACAAGGTCAGCATGCTCATTTCTGTTTTTTAATGCTTAGTGGTTTTCTTTACTTACTTACTTTCGGCTCAGCTGGGTCCTTGCTGCTGCCCACGGGCTCGCTCCGGTTGCAGCGAGTGGGCTCTGCTCTCTCGTGTGGTGTCCGGGCTTCTCAGATTGCTGGCTTCTCTTGTGGACCGAGGGCTCCAGGCGTGCGGTTCAGTGGTCGCGGCACTCACGGGCATAGTTGCCCCAAGGCCTGTGGGATGCTCCAGGAACTGAACCTGTCTCCTGCATTGGCAGGTGGATTGTTCACTTCTGGGCCCCCAGGGAAGGCCCTCTGCCTTATTTTTAAAATCCTGGAAAGAACCCTGAAATGTACACCAGTGTATCCTTCACCTAGATTTATCAAACGGTCACACCTGCACATGTGTGTGTGCTCTCTCTTCTTCACACCCACGTCCATGCCCTTTTGCAAAACCATCCTAATGTAGGGAGCAGACATCGTGGCTCTTCACCTTTAAATGCTGCAGGTATTTTTCAAGAACAAAGGCGTTTCTCTACACCTCCATAACTGAGAGGGTTAGCATTGATTTAGTAACATAATTTACTATACCATTCATCTTCAGATCTCCCCAGTTTCCCCAAACATGTTTTTATGTGTTTTGTTTTGTCTAATACAGGGTCTATTCCAGGTTCACATTTTGCATTTGGCTATTATGTTCCCAGGTGACTCAGTGGTAAAGAACCCTCCCGCCAACGCGGGAGATGTGGGTTTGATCCCTGGGTGGGGAAGATCCCCTGGAGAAGGAAATGGCAATACGTCTAACTGTATTCTTGCCTGGGAAGTCCCATGGACAGGGGAGCCTGGTGGGCTACAGTCCATGGGGTCGCAAAAGAGTTGGACAGAACTTAGTGACTAAACACCAGCAAATCAGTCCTCAAGCACCATCTTATTTTATGTGAAATTATGTTCTCAGTTCACCTTGTACTTAGCCTGTCCTGTCTGGAGAGAGCTGTTTCTCTTAGGAGGCCCGATCTTTCCTCTGAGAGGGTAGGGTTTGCAGAGCAGGGTATGAGAGCTCATTGTCACTGGGCTGCTGTTGCCTTTAGACCTTTTCAGTGGACGTAAAAGAAGTGCGTTCGTAAGTGCGTCTGTAATGGCCGGGTATATTGCCCAGTTTTTTTTCTTTCTCAGAATGTATCTTGACTAGTTAGTCCCCCACATTTTTCATGTAACAAGTGTATAATATGGTCCTAGCTAGATTTTCACTGACGAAGTTGGATGGGTGAAGAGGTGAAGGGTGATGGTGCACTTGGTGGGAACCGGGGAAAGGCAAGAGCAAAACACTAATGATGAATGGAATGTTTTTCTAACTGGCCTTTTTTTGTTTTTAATAGGTTGTTAAAAACAACTTGAATCCTGTTTGGAGGCCTTTTAAGATCTCTCTTAACTCTCTGTGCTATGGAGATATGGATAAAACTATTAAGGTAATTTGAAAATTATATATGTATTATGTACACACATACAAATACCCCGATTTTATAAATTAATTTATTGGATAGTCCTTAAAGAAAGTAAATGATGTAAGTTTGAACTTTATTTATATTTAGGAATGCTAAAATAGAAATGTTTCTGATAAGCAGTCAGTCTAAAGGAGCAGAGACATTTTGAATGATCTGTTGATCTGTTGAATGCTTAATCAAACATTGTGGTTTTTATTTTATTCTTCATTTTTTAAAATAAAATATTTAAGTCTTCCCTACTTTTTAATAAGATTCTTCTGTTCTGTGACTAGAAACAGTTAACTGCACTCTTTGCCTTTGGTGTGTCCCTTGCAATAAAAATAGGTATTACTTTAACTGAGAACCCGGAGCTTCCTTCTGCCCTCAACGCAGAGTACAATAGTGGTGACATTTCTGGTCACTGATTTTCAGTTTAGCTCAGTCGCTTAGTCGTGTCTGACTCTTTGTGACCCCATGGACTGCAGCATGCCAGGCCTCCCTGTCCATCACCAACTCCTGGAGCTCAGAGGAAGGTATCATTTATTAAAGCATATGGATGGCTTTAGTTTTAGAGTCTTTAAAGGAAAGCAAAGTAGGAGCACGGAGCTGCAGCAGATAGCTAAGAATTTTTTAAAATGTTTTCACTTATAGCCATTTATCAAAACAGATATATTATTTTAGAGATACTTTTATATTAGTCACCTCTTTACATATGATTCCTGATAGGCACCTTTTCATATATTCAGAGGTCAGCAAACTGAGGTGAGTTTTTTGCTTTTTGTTTTTTTCTTTTGATAATTTGTATGGTGAAAGCAGGAAAGGTGATGAAGGGACTTGGAGTCAAACCGCAGTCCAAGACTTGACTTAGACCTTGAACCAGCTAAGGGATTTTGAGCAGGTTAACTTCCTTACTTATATAATGGAGAAAATAATGTCTACATAACAAAATAAAATCAGGATTAAATTAATGTACATGAAAAATTTCATAAACTGTTAAACACAGTAGCCATGCTATTATTATTGAAAACCATTTCATTTCTTAGATTCATAAATTTTTTCCTCATTTTTCAGAGAACTTTAAAAATTAATATGATTTGTGTGATATTTCAAACAGCAGTGAAAATTTTGGTGCAAAATAAATAGAAAAGTAGCTTTGCACATTACTTTCATCAACTAGAAAAGACGCACAATGTGAGATATAGTTTTGGGTTACGTTTTATCTGGGACAGTATGGGGACCGCAGAGACAGCGCCTCGGAGAGCTCTGAGCAGCTGTTCCAAAGAGGCAGGGGAAAGGTCAGTGTGGATGTGATTTTGGTGAGGGGGCCATGCATGCAATCAAGCATAGGTTCTTCCCAAAGGTTTCTACGAGTCTTGTGAAGCTTCTGCTGGTCATGAGAAACGGTCGTCACCGTGAAGGATGTTAGTGCTTTTCTAGATATGTGGAGATGCAAGAACTGGCTTCGTACAATCAGCTCCTGCGAATATTTAACTGTCTGAAGACCTGTCCTGCAAGTTCTCCCCTGGACACAGAGCGCCTCACTTCTGCCCTCCACCCCAAACCCTTCAGCGGCTGTTAGAGGGCTGCAGCTAGCTGCAGCATCCCTCGATTTAATCCCTGTAGGGGCGGGTGGCAAGCCCCCACGGAGACGGCCCGTCTGTAGTTGACACTTTTTACTGTCATATTAAATCTAGACCTTTTGCTTTTCACATTGAAAGTAATAAGTTAAGGCTTCATTAGATCTAAGAAGCAAGAAAGGCTAGGAAAAAAATGCCTCAACTCTGATTGTTTGTAATAATATATTAACAATGAAACAATATTTAACAACTTTAAAATTTAACAGTTTTAAATTTAACAATTTAAGAAATTTAACAATTTCTTAAACTTCTTTTTTTTGCGCACAGTGTCATGCTCACAGGGCTATTTTATTATAGTAAGTAAACTGATTTTTTGAGCTTTCTCTGATGAATGTCTTCATTCTTAAAAGATTCTCTACTTGTTTTCACTGTATACCAATTGGTTTGCCACACCATCTCTGTCTTTCTTTCTTTAGTTCTGTATTTGTTCCCAATCATCAGAAAGTCATCCATCACTGATTCTCTTGGTGTTTGGAAATTGCTTAGAGGTGTAGTAAAGAGTTATAGAGCAGAGAATAGAGTCGGAATTATTGGTAATTTCTTTGCTGCAGTGTGAACGTCCCAGTGTTATCATTCTAGCATGGATTATTATTTTCATAAGATTGTGTGAATAATATAACCATGCATGTCTAAACTGAGAATGCATTAGTGAATGTAGTATTGTGTGATGTGTGCATTCTTTTGCATATATACATATACACATATGTATATATGTGTACATTTCAGGTTCACAGACTACTGAAGCTGTTGTTTAAAACAGCTAACAGTACTGGTTTTTGAATTCTTGAGAAGAGAAATTAAATGTCATAAATTGTTACACCATTTACCTCAAACTGTATTTGAACACATGTCAGCATAATAAATGTCACGTTTTCCTTTAACATCTAACATTTGTCTTTAATGGGGCAACAGTGAACTTTTCTTATATGTTTATTACAGTGAGTTATCAGGAATTACATTTTAAAAATGTTTTTGCATTCCAGAAGTTTTGGACAGTCTAAACATGAACAGTTTTAGCTCTTCCTTAAGTTTCATTTAAATAAAATCTTGGTCTTATCAAAGCCTGATCTTGTCATCTTAGGTATAAATTAGAGTTTTCTGAATGTAGTTCTAAGATGTAAAATTCTGTTTTCTGTAATTAAAAAAAAAACCTCTTAAAATGAAATGATTAAAATATTAAGATTATTTTAATTTTAATTTTAGTCCCTCTAGAAAAATTATTAATGTTATTAATTTTCTGTCAGATAAAGGACTTTTGGTTTAAAAATTGAGTATGAAAAAAATAAAATAAAAATTGAGTATCAGATATGTAGATCAAGAGTTAGTGACTGAAGTAGTGGAAATAAATAAAAGCACTGTTACTCAGAATTGCAATTCTAGACCTAGTTTGTTTTCATTTATTGATCGTTTGATTTTTAGTCTTGAAAAATAATGAAAATATATGGAGTGAAAGACTTCCTGTTTTGATAAGCGCTCAATTCACTTTTCATAGAACTGAGAAAAAAGGATCACTTTGCTTGGTGAATATATATAAATCCTGAGTGTTTTAGCTTGATTAATATAACTTTGTAACGGATTATGGGATAGGGTAAATGCAAATTGTTTTTCAGTTACAGGCTTTTATCTTAAATCATAGGCTCTAGAAGTATTCAGAAGTTTTCCTGGCACAGACTTACTTTGTTGGTTACCACATAAGATGTGTCATCTTCTAAGACTATTAAATTCTTCTGTCTACCTGACATCCTCAGTAGATAATGTGTGCAGTGCACATAATGAATGTTTGCAGGAAGAAATGTTAGTAGTTATAAAGCAGTATAAAAACTCAAGTTATTTATCATCACAGTGAACACGTCTGCTTGCTAAGAGTTCACACCATGTTAATTTTCTCACTGCAATGAATATTCAGATATTCTTGTGAATATTTACTCTTTGACTGCATCTGCCAGCATGGTACCAAACTACATGGAAATCAGATACTCTTAGCTCTCTTCCATATGTTTTAAGAAACAGTGAACATTTAATGAAAGCCATAGCTCAGACTAGGATTGACCTTGTCTTATATGGAAATAGCATTGTTATGACCCAGTGTAGATACTTCCTCAGTGGATTAAATACTGTTTTCCTGGAATTTTCCTTTTCATTGTGGGAATTGTGATCCTCAGAATGATGCAAATCCAACTTCATTGAATCTAACTCCTAAAAGAAGCCGAGCCTCACCAGATTGCAGCCAATGAAATACATTTTCCATAGTTATAAATCATCTAGAATTTAATTATATGATTTTTAGCTGCCTAGGATACTGACTTGCTTTCTTCCTTCAGATAGATAGTGGCTTTTAGCCATTGTAAAATAGCAAGGTAAAAAGTGGATGAGAAAGAAGGTCTAATTCCATTTCGACTTTGTTAGAACTTGTAAACGGCATATACAGGAACTGAAAACTGCTCAACATGGAATTTCAACAGTATTTGTGTTTTTCATGTGCCTACAAAACACATGTAGATGTGTTTTCATTTGTCTTGGAATCCCATCCCAAGAATAGCCACGGCTTGAAAGGGTTTCAGTATTACCCCTCTAGGCACTTAGCTCCTACTTCTCCAAGTGGGACTGTGTATTAAACAGTTTCACTTATTTTAATTAAAAGTGCACTTCTTGGTAAGTTGCATTTATTGCAACCAATTCTTTTAAACAAAGTCATATTGATTTTTATATATTTCTATTATGCTTCCTTATAGGTAGAGTGTTATGATTATGACAACGATGGGTCACATGATCTCATTGGAACATTTCAAACCACAATGACAAAACTGAAAGAAGCCTCCAGAAACTCACCTGTAAGTTGCCACTTTGTTATTTGTGTATACCTTATATTTGGCCCTGTATTTATTTCTTCATTTTTTTCTCTTGAAATAGCAAATAGCTTTCCTTGCTTTTACTCTATAATATGTAATATTCTGAAATCTGTGGATTTTGTTTAAGTAGTCAGCTGATGCAAAATTCTTACTTGGGGCGAGTTTGTGTTTAGAGGTTTGGTTTCCTTTCGCTACGGACAAATATATGTGGTTTGATTGAAAAGCCTTCGTTTCAAAGATCTTGGCATTTAATTGGCCACCATAATTAATATCTACATGAGGCAAATACTTAGGCTTGAATTTTGGACATTTATTTCCTTTTGGATACTTTAGAAATTAGCTTTTACCTTCTGTCCCTCTCTGACTTGTCCTTGCCCAAAGGAAGGATACAAGCATAGTTATACTGCCTCAAATTATGTAGTATTAAGCTGCCATCTAATGGACTAATTTTGTTAGGATCGTTTGTTTGCCTTAACTGCATTCAGTTTGTTAGTTAGCATCCCCACCTATTTCTAAGATTGCTTCTGAAACTTTCCTGTCTCTATGGCAAAGTACCTAAAAACTATTCCAGAGTGTTTTTTTATAAATAAAACTTAAAAACTGCCTCCCTCTTACTTACCTTTCTAGTTTGAATGAAATAAGTTAATTCTCTTTTTAGCTTACTTAGAATAATCTGAAATGTTTACTACCTACTTGTGACCTGAATAATGCTCATGAATATAGCATTTGCTTTTGAAAATCCAAACATGAAGTTTAAAAGGAAAGAGATTATGGTCAGGTGGGAAGGTCTTTTTTACCAACTTATGTAAGTGAAGTGACCCAAAAGAAGATACTGATAGTTTTAGATCAAAACTTAAATATGAAATGAATAAGTAGAACTTAATAGCTTTTTGATTTGAATAATTGGGAGAAATGAGTTTTGAACTAACATAGCGGACTAGAATCTTCAGTAGGTCGTATAGAGATCTCCAGACCTGTCTCTGCAGGCTTCCCGGGAGGCTCAGTGGTAAGAATTCGCCTCCAGTGCAGGAGACGTGAATTTGATTCCTGGGTCGGAAGATCCCCTGGGGTGAGAAATGGCAACCCACTCCAGTACTCTTGCCTGGAGAATTCCACGGACACAGGAGTCTGGAGGGCTACAGTCCATGGGGTCGCAACGAGTCAGACACAACTGAGCAACTGAACAAACACACACACACACAGTCCTGTCCTTACGCCCTGGTCACAAAGCCCAGGAACTTGTGTAGCAGAAGTGCTTGTGTGAAGTAAGAAGGGCTTTTCCAGTCACACCTAATGGTTTAAATGCAAAGATTGAATTAACAGTATAAATTAAAACAACAGTAAAATTCAGCTGTAAATATTCTGCTGAAAGATATATATATGTATATTCATTTATTTTTAAGGCAGAAATAATGGAAAATTGTGACCATCTGAGCATTTAACATGAAGTAGCTTCCTGAAAGAGCTAAATATGAGGAGTGATGTGTATCGTCGTTTCGCTGGTTTCAGTTTGTTGTTATTTTGCCGAACCAGTAAATGACCTGCTTTTGGAAGAGAATGAACCAGAAACTAACTGCGTGATACTTTAGAGAGCACGTAGGTGGCGGTGGCTTAGTCGCTCAGTCGTGTCCGACTCTTGAGATACCGTGAACTGTAGCCCACCAGGCTCCTCCGTCCAGGGTACCCTCCAGGCAGGAATACTGGAGCGGGTTGCCATTCCCTTCCCCAGGGGATCTTCCTGACCCAGGAATCGAACCCGGGTCTCCTGCATTGCAGGCAGGTGATTTACCAACTGAGCTGTGAGGGAAGCCCCTTCAGTTCCTAAAAGGGGACATTAAGCCTGTCTTGCAAGGTTGTTGGAAGAATTGCATGAGATAACTGATGTAAAAATAAAGCATTAGGGGTCTAGGAACTCACTCCTTTGGTGCAGCTGACGAGAAGATGCCATCAGCATGTGAAACTCTCCTATCTCCAGCTAACTCGATCCTTCCCTCCCCATGATAGAATGAGGCTTTTAATACTGTTGCCGTGACAGCGTTTATCCACCTGATCTTCGGAGTCAGGACTGTATCTTATCAACTCTGTGTTCAGTGCCTAGAACAGTGCTTGTTGCTTGGGTGGATACTGGAAAAATGTGGATAAATGAGATGAAGTCATGTAGCCTTTTACAAGTAAGAATTCTGTTTAGGACATTTCTGCATCTCTAATATTCAATAATTAATATGCATGATAATGACAAACTGATCCTTAACCATCAAAAAGTTTTTTTTAACATTATTTTGTTTTGTATCATTGTTTCAAAGGTATTTTTAAATGTTTGATTCTTAGAAAATTAATAATGCCTCTGGCTAAAGTATGTAAGTTGCTTTCTATTGACCAGAAGAGGTGACTTATCCAGTATTCACTGAGTGTCTCTTATTACTAGGCAAGACAGTGAGAATTTCAGGGTATAACTTGAAAGTGACTGTACCCTAGCTATGAAAAAAATTAATGAAATGAAACAGTTGAGAGTAATGCCAAGTATGTAAGTTTTATGTAGTTGTGGCAGCATAATGAGAGAGATGGCAATGAGAGACTAGAACAGGAGCTGATGCTCTGGAGAAGGATGACTTGAGCCAAGCCTTCCAGAAGCAGTGGGTAGGAGTTGGAAGGGAAGATGATCTATTTGTGGGAAGATGTAATCTGTTTCTATACATATTCCCAGTGGAAAGGGATGATCTTTGCTGCGTACTCTACCATAGAGATGGGCTTCATATATTTCTGTGTTCTGATGGTTGTTTTTTTCTTTGCTAAGCAGTGTGTTTTTGTACTTTGGGTGACAGATAAAAATAATATTTCTTTTGTTATAAAGAAAAAAGATGATTACTTGGAGCGTTTATAAGGAAATGATCTACAAAGGAAACATTTATACTTAGAAACTATTTTAAAAGGTACAAAACTTTAGAAGTGCTTTTTGAAAATGTGACTGATAAATATTTCATATATATAATATAGTGTGCAATTGTTTCAGATTTGTATTTTGTAACAGACCTGTATCAGTAAATGGTTTGATTCCAAGAGAAAAAAATCATTCACTTAAATTTACATGGGCATTTCTAATATCACTAATAATAATGAACATTTTGTCTTTTCTTCTTATAGGTTGAATTCGAATGCATAAATGAAAAAAAGAGGCAAAAGAAGAAAAGCTACAAGAATTCAGGGGTTATCAGTGTGAAGCAGTGTGAGGTCAGTTGCTCTTGACAGCTGATAGTGTAATGAGATCACATTTTAAGTTTTTCTATCAATATGGTATATATCACACAAACACTTTGAACAGTTGAAAATTACATGAGCATCTCAGCACCTTTAGAGAACAGGAAATAGTAGAGAAATCTTTCAAGTTTGCTTCCAAGGTTTGACAGCTTTTTAGCAAAGGACAAAGAATTTTAAAGTTTTTCATTATCTTAGGAAATACAAGCACCATTGGTGTTTTTCTGGTACATCAGTGGAAATGACTTGACTCAGTGCATCAATTCTGGTTATAATTTCAAGATGAGATGTTATGAGCGAAGGGAAAAAACCCAAGAGATTTCTTAAACGATTGGGAGTTTTTGCTTTTGTTTTTCTTTTTAAACTTATTAAAGTCTCCACATATTAAACTCATTACTAGTTCCTTAAAACCAGTGTATTTCATCTTTGGCTATTGATATTCTAATCTTAACATGCTATAATTATCTTGAATCTTACAGATTCATGACATGTAGGGGTAGGTTGCATTAAATTCAAATGTAGGAGTGGGTTCTATGTGTTTATATCTTGTGCTGTTCAGTTTATAAATTATTGAAAATGTATGCCAGGGAGCTCTTTGCTTCTCTTAAAATAGGAAAGTTTTAATTTTGTTTACTATTTATTTTTAGATTACAGTGGAATGTACATTCCTTGACTATATCATGGGAGGCTGCCAGCTGAATTTTACTGTGAGTAACACACTGGATTTTTCACAGTAGACTGTAATGTGTGGCTTTTCCCTCTATTTTGCAGTGTTCTTTCTTTTACTGCCAAACTGACTTAGTGATAAAATTTACACTATGTGTTGAATATGGTCTCTGCAGAGAGTTTGTCTAAGTTCATCCAGCAGCTTTGGCCTTGTCAATACCTTTTCCACCACAAAAAAAGCACGTGTATATAAATCAGTGATTATACAGTAATTTGAATAATAAAAAGCACTAATCAAATGTACCAAAAAACCTGCTATGTCTAAAGTCATGGATATAATAATCTATGATGTAAGACATCTAGAAAATTAGGAATAGCAGGTTGCTTCAGGCTAGAGCTGTAATTAATTGTCGTGAAGGTACATGTTGGCTCAGGGACTTGTTAGCAAATCAGAGTAGCAGGCTTGGGGGTAAGTGTTTCTGCATCAACCTTCAGTGTTTGTGTTTTCCTGGACATCAAGGATGTCCCTGCCCTCCCCTTAGTAAGGACCGCAATTGTCATTTGGCAGGTGGGAGTGGACTTCACTGGCTCCAATGGTGATCCGAGTTCTCCCAACTCCCTTCATTACATCAGCCCCAGTGGTGTTAATGAGTATTTGACTGCAATCTGGTCTGTGGGACTGGTCATTCAAGACTATGATGCGTGAGTATGACTCCAGTACATAACTCCCCAGAAACGGCAGTGTCTGTATCATTTGCTGGTTCTCTGATGTAGTTGACAGGATAACGGTGCTAGGGAGAAGTAGCTCTCTCCTTAAAATTTCTCTTGTCTTTTCTATTTTTCCTTTTGTGAACAGTCAGTGTTTACCTTTGACTTCTAATCTCTGGCTGTGATTAGTTATAATGTATTATGTGTAGCATCCTTCTTTAACAGCTGACTGTTAGCAAGGCTTTTGTTTCTTTGATCTGGTTTTCTTGGGGCTTACTCATTAGGGATAAGTTATTTCTGTGGTTCAAGTCCAGAAGACACCTTTTGTAAACACTCATAGACACTATATTTTAATATGTCTATTTTCTTGGCAGTCATTATCAAATTAGTTTCTTATTTTCAACAAGTGCTACAGGATAACTTGATATAATTGCTATGAAATATTTTGAATCGATTCTCAATGGGTAGATTTTGAATAGATTAAAATAGGTCCTTCTGAAGGTATACTAAACAATAGAAAAAATCGACATTATTAATTTTTTGTTCTGTATCTGTTAGGGTACAGTATACATTTTCACTTGTTTTTGTCAATTATTTTATGATGAAAGTCCTTACATATTGATGGAGTTTTTTATTACTTTGTTATGACATCTAAATGAAATTCTTATACAAAATCTAAGCAAGGATAGCAGTTCCAGTACCACCCTAATAGAATTTAAGGCAAAACTCATTAAATATAACTTAAAAATTACTTTATAGACACTTTTTTATATAACCCAAAATGAAAATACAACCATGGACATAGTAATAGAGTATCAATGTATTTCCATTGAAAATAGCTAGAAATATAAAAATTTCAAAGTAACAGTTGTAATGGGACTTAGATTAAAAAAGCAGTAAATTTACAGGGTTACTGTTTAAGACTGCTTCCTGGAAGTTAAAACAAAAAGTTAACTAAAAAAAGTTTGCCACATGAAAATTAAAAAAAACTCTTTAAGTAGTTCTTAGATCAAAGAGGAAATCAAAGTGTAATAACAGACTGTCTAGAAATAAAGGGTAATGAGAAGACTGTTTATGATCTGTAACAACTTAGTTCCCCAGTCCACAGCACTGAAAGCATCAAGTACTAATCACTGGACCACAAGGAAACTCCCTTTATTTCATTTTTTTTTTTTAAAGCATCTCCAGGGACTTGAACCTAGGCCCTCCAATTAAGAGCCTGATACTCTACCAACTGAGGTACCTAGGCAGTCTCAGCTTTATAAAGGAAGATTTCTGACACTTTTATTTTTAAACAAGAATATAAATGAACTAGCTTTTCAACAAAATAAAGTTCAAGGATAGAAAGAAAAATATAGATACAGTAATAGTAGGAGATTCCATATACATGTTGGCTATTCTATGTCAGGGAAACTTTTAGATTCTTTCTATATGATATTCACCTAATCCTCATGCTTGGTTGTGAGATAGGTGGTGTCATCATCTTCATGTTACAGATGAGAAGCCTGAGGCAGGAAGCTAAAGTCACGTGGCCAGGGTCCCTCCGCTGGCAGACACAGAACTGCACCCAGGCTGTGTGGCTTCGGAGACGTGTCCCCTCCACTCTGCTGTGTTCTGCTTCCTCCAAACACACAAAGTAATGACTTGCACACACCAAGTTAACACATTAAATGAAGAGATGATTCTTTGCAAGTTCAACAAAATTTAGGAAAACCTTCGGTGACCCCAACCCCCAAGAAAAAGAGAAAACACGTAGAATATTAGTAATGAGGCAAAGATCATAAGCATAAATTCAGAAAAAAATCGTTAAACATTGTATGTTAATGTTTGGTAAAATATTATACTATTTCAGTGAAAAAACCTAGGTTGAAGGATGATTCTTTTAGACAGCTACAAATTACCAAACTTGGCTCAAAGAGGCAGAGAACCTCATCAGACCAAGAACTGGTCAAAGAGCTCTTCTCACAAAGGCACCAACCAAGACAGCGCCATACGTAAATGAGGAATGAATTCAAACCTGAGAGAATCAAGTGAAAAATGTTAGTGAAAGTTCAAAAGGCAGTTATATACAACATAAAGTTAAAAATCAACAATTTTTCATGAACCAGCAAAAACCAATTGAAGAAACTGTAGTAGGTAATAGATCACAGTTCATAATGCAATAAAAATGAGAATAAATTTAGTAAAAGATCTATGATATTTAGTTAGAAACTACAGAATTGTACCCAGGGACAAAGAAGGAAAGATATGCCACAATTCTAGATAGGTAGATGTCACAATAATGAAAATATAACATTTCTCTCTGGGATTAGTCAGTTTTAACCAAAATTTCAATAGAACCTTGACAAAGTGATTCTTATAATTTTCTAGAGGGTAAAATGAATCAGACAGTAAAGAATCCTCCTGCAAAGCGGGAGACCTGGGTTCCATCCCTGGGTTGGAGAGATCCCCTGGAGAAGGGAAAGGCTACCCACTCCATCCAGTATGCTGGCCTGGAGAATCCCCTGGACAGAGGAGCCTGGTGGGCTACAGGAGCCCATGCGGTCGCAGAGAGTCGGACACGACTGAGCGACTGTGCTCAGCACAGCAACATTATGTATGTTTCCCGTGTACAATGTTAAGTATACATTCAGAGTGTGGAACTAGTACATGACCTGTGGAAACATGCAGTCTTGAAATAGGCCCAGGAGCGTCTGGGAATTTAAGCACTTGACAGCGATGGCACTGTGCGGGGATGGGGTTATAACACCTGTCAGGCCGTGCTGGGTCTGGACTGGATTTGAGCCCCTGGCTCGGGCTTGTATGTGTTAGGATACTCTGTACAGACTATGGACAGACCTGCTGAAATAGACACCCCAGCACAACATGATTTTGACAGAGATTTGTGCCTCGTTCCTGTTGCACGTCTAGCGACAAGCAGTTCAGTGCTACCTCTCAGGGCTTCCACCCTGGGCCCGCGTTCTCGTCCTCCCCAGCCAGTGCGACTCCGGAGTGGCTGCAAACCCCTCCACTCACACATCCGGCCAGAACTCCCTGACCACTGCCGGCCCGGAGAGGCTGGGGTCGAGCAAATGTGGTCGCTAGGGGCCCAGGGCATCCCGGCTTAAAGGGGGAGAGATGGGTGCTGGTGGATCCACGTGAAGCAGTTTTTGCTTCACATGCCATTCTTGATGAATTACACATTTAATATCAAGATCAAGGCTTGGAAGTTCTAATAGAACATATATGTGAATTGTCTATAATCTTGCAGTGAGGACAGCCTTTAAGCAAGACAGAAAAGGCAACAATCATGAAAGAATCTTTGGGTGTTCACAGTCATTAATGCTAATAACTAGAAAAGGGAAGCTCTTTTAAAGTTAAAGGCAGACTATCAACTGGGAAAAATAGCGTGACATCTATGACATAGATGCAAAAAGAACCATTGAGAATTAATATAAAAAAGAAAACCGCTAGAAGAAAGGTTAGTATCGTCATTACAGGGTTCTGTAATAGCAAGCCTTTGGGTATCTGTCTGTTGGGGGAGAATCTCCGTACAGTGAGTGGATCACTTGGCAGCCACTCTCATGATGTTGTATATTCTGTCCAAATTATCTCTAAGCCCCTGGGCCAGATATTCATACATTTTGCTGCAGAAATGGAGAGTTTTATGATGTGTGGCATTTGTACCGTATTTCTGTGGTCAAACATATGATATCTTATTCATATTAAGTGATATAAATAAAGGCTATAAATAACCTCTTGTTAGTTGAGGTCACGTTTTGCTGCCAAATGAGTATTTTTTGTAGACAAATGAAAAACTTGTGCTTTTTAAAGCTTTATTAATTTATTTACATATTTATTTAGTGAAATGATAAACGGTATATAAGTAGAAGTGTGTTAAGTATTAGTTGCTCAGTTGTGTCTGACTCTTTGCCACCCCATGGATGGTAGCCCGCCAGGCTCCTCTGCCCATGGAATTTTCCAGGCAAGAATTCTGGAGTGGATTGCCATTTCCTCCTCCAGAGGATCTTCCCAACCCAGGGATGGAACCCAGGTCTCCTGCATTGCAGGCAGACTCTTTACTGCCTGAGCCATAAAGTCCATCTTAATAAATACATATAGAGAGACTTTAAATTCCTTCAATGCACAGAAAAATATTTAGGATGAGAGTTTCCAAATATTAACATTACTTCTAGGCTTTGTTTTAGTTTCATATTTTTCTAAAATTTTGAAAGTTTTAAAAGTAAGCTCATGTTGTTTTATTATGGGTAAAGATAAAAATGACTTGTTGCTTTTTTCAAATTTTCATTTTAGTGATAAGATGTTTCCAGCTTTTGGCTTTGGAGCACAGGTCCCACCTCAGTGGCAGGTAGGAAGAACTCTCATTGTGAGGTTTGCCTCCTAGGAAAGCAAAACCAGCCTCATCAGTGCTTTCATCTTTTGACAGGTTTCTCATGAATTTCCAATAAACTTTAATCCATCCAATCCCTACTGTAATGGTAAGTTAAAAATCAACGTGAGTTTTAAACTGAAAGCCTTCCTGAGTCTTTGTCAGTTGTTTTTTCTCTCTGATTGAAAGCTCCTCAGATTTCCTTTCTGGGTTTCTTTTTGTGACATATTGAATTTCCTATCACGTAAAGTAGAATTTTACACCAAGTTGGTGGTTAGTATGTTTTTTTTTTTTTCATTTATTTTTATTAGTTGGAGGCTAATTACTTTACAATATTGTAGTGGGTTTTGTCATACATTGACATGAATCAGCCATGGATTTACATGTGTTCCCCATCCCCATCCCCCCTCCTGCCTCCCTCTCTACCCGATCCCTCTGGGTCTTCCCAGTGCACCAGGCCTGAGCACTTGTCTCATGCATCCCACCTGGGCTGGTGATCTGTTTCACTATAGATAATATACATGTTTCAATGCTGTTCTCTCGAAACATCCCACCCTCACCTTCTCCCACAGAGTCCAAAAGTCTGTTCTGTATATCTGTGTCTCTTTTTCTGTCCTGCATATAGGGTTATCATTACCATCTTTCTAAATTCCATATATATGTGTTAGTATGCTGTAATGTTCTTTATCTTTCTGGCTTACTTCACTCTGTATAATGGGCTCCAGTTTCATCCATCTCATTAGAACTGATTCAAATGAATTCTTTTTAACGGCTGAGTAATATTCCATTGTGTATATGTACCACAGCTTTCTTATCCATTCGTCTGCTGATGGGCATCTAGGTTGCTTCCATGTCCTGGCTATTATAAACAGTGCTGGGATGAACATTGGGATACACATGTCTCTTTCAGATCTGGTTTCCTTGGTGTGTATGCCCCGAAGTGGGATTGCTGGGTCATATGGCAGTTCTATTTCCAGTTTTTTAAGAAATCTCCACACTGTTTTCCATAGCGGCCATACTAGTTTGCATTCCCACCAACAGTGTAAGAGGGTTCCCTTTTCTCCACACCCTCTCCAGCACTTATTGCTTGTAGACTTTTGGATAGCAGCCATCCTGACTGGCGTGTAATGGTACCTCATTGTGGTTTTGATTTGCATTTCTCTGATGATGAGTGATGTTGAGCATCTTTTCATGTGTTTGTTAGCCATCTGTATGTCTTCTTTGGAGAAATGTCTGTTTACATCTTTGGCCCATTTTTTGATTGGGTCATTTATTTTTCTGGAGTTGAGCTGGAGGAGTTGCTTGTATATTTTTGAGATTAATCCTTTGTCTGTTGCTTCATTTGCTATTATTTTCTCCCAATCTGAGGGCTGTCTTTTCACCTTGCTTATAGTTTCCTTTGTTGTGCAAAAGCTTTTAAGTTTCATTAGGTCCCATTTGTTTATTTTTGCTTTATTTCCAATATTCTGGGATGTGGGTCATAGAGGATCCTGCTGTGATTTATGTCGGAGAGTGTTTTGCCTATGTTCTCCTCTAGGAGTTTTATAGTTTCTGGTCTTACATTTAGATCTTTAATCCATCTTGAGTTTATTTTTGTGTATGGTGTTAGAAAGTGTTCTAGTTTCATTCTTTTACAGGTGGTTGACCAGTTTTCCCAGCACCAGTTGTTAAAGAGGTTGTCTTTTTTCCATTGTATATCCTTGCCTCCATTGTTGATAAGGTGACCATAGGTTCATGGATTTATCTCTGGGCTTTCTATTCTGTTCCATGGATCTATATTTCTGTCTTTGTGCCAGTACCATACTGTCTTGATGACTGTGGCTTTGTAGTATAGTCTGAAGTCAGGCAGGTTGATTCCTCCAGTTCCCTTCTTTCTCAAGATTACTTTGGCTATTCGAGGTTTTTTGTATTTCCATACAAATTGTGAAATTATTTGTTCTAGTTCTGTGAAGAATACTGTTGGTAGCTTGATAGGGATGGCATTGAATCTATAGATTGCTTTGGGTAGTATGGTGGCTAGTATGTTAAGAAGGCAAATGTAATGATGAAGACTGCAGGCTAAATTCTTCTACCTTAAGAGGTCTAATAGAACAAAAGATTTCTCAATCTTGATGATAGATCAATAAGAGTAATCATTTTATTTTCTCATATAAGTTGATTTAAAAATAAACCTTCAATAAAATGAATCATTTAATATACAGATGTTTTTCTCAGATTAACAGTTAACTTTCTATGAAGAAAGTGTCCAGCATCTAATTATTTGTTACACAGTTTCTGTAAGGAGGTGGAAGTAGGCTAAAGAAGCACAGAATTAAGCTCCAGGAGTAGCTTTCCTTTGTGTAGAAAACAGGCACAAATATTTCTGTGATTCTACTTTTCTGTTTATCTCTCAAATATCCCAGTGCCTTTTCCTTTTTATCATGTTGACCAATGCCAAATCTCCCTCAAAGTTAATATAAAACTGAACAGTTTGGAGGAGGGAAAGAGGTAGGGGCAGAGACATAAAATTGTAGACGCTAAGCTAATTTTCTGCAAAGGGTGCTTTTAACAGTTAGAAAATGTATAGAATTCTAATAGAAGAGGATGCCCTTCCCTCCTCTTCTTAAATGATATTCATAAAGTAGAAGAGCATGAATATTTTGTTGGGAGTAGTTTGTATTAGGATTTTCTCCTTTTCTGCAAAATTCTTTTTTCATACTGATTCAGGGTGCCTTTTTGTGCGTTCAGTGGCTGTGGTTGTGACCCATCCGTGCTGCTGCTGCTAAGTTGCTTCAGTCGTGTCCAACTCTGTGCGACCCCATAGATGGCAGCCCACCAGACTCCCCCGTCCCTGGGATTCTCCAGGCAAGAACACTGGAGTCGGTTGCCATTTCCTCCTCCAATGCGTTGAGCGTGAAAAATGAAAGTGAAGTCGCTCAGTCGTGTCCGACTCTTCGCGACCCCACAGACTGCAGCCCACCAGGCTCCTCCGTCCATGGGGTTTTCCAGGCAAGAACACTGGAGTGGGGTGCCAGTGCCTTCTCCAGTGACCTATCCCCAGCCATATGAAAATGGGAATATTTTTCTTTTTTTTTGGATTTGGCAATGATTTATTGAATATGATACCAAAAGCACAGGCAGCAAAAGAAAAAAATAGATACGTTAGACTAATTAAAATGTAAAACTTCTTAAATCGAAGAACACTGTCAAAAGAGTGAAGTCAGCCCATAGAATGGGCACTTCATACCCACAATAAGTAGCCATTCTTTCTTTTTTTTTTCCAGTAACTTTTTCTTTTCAAAAAATGTGCCTCATGCTTATGATGAAATTGGAACAGTTTTTAGAATTTGTTGTAATTAGATTTTATGTTTCACAAGTAAATGCAGATGACAGATCATGGGATGATTCGTTTGAGAAGGTCCTTCGCTCTGTGAGTGGTAAGAGCCCGTCTAGGGCTGTCACCAAGCGCAGCTTTTCTGCTTTCAGTTTAGTCTGGACAAAAGAGAGAATCATTTAGGTTTCAGACAAAGGAAGTTTTTCACACGGAAAAAATACAACTTTATTTTAAGACAAGGAAGTTTAATCCTCTTCTCTTAGTCACTGAACTTAGTTGCCCATAAAAAAACATGTCTCAGTTGTTCCTTTAATGCAGTGGAAAAATACTAGCATAATTCAGTTTTAGTTGAGGAATTGAAGGCTGTTGATATTTTTATGAAAACATTTAATAGCTTTGTATACCTTCAGATTGAAAAGCAGGCTAGATGATCGAAATGGGAGAAAATATTACTGTTGCTTTGGTTGTGGGTTCAATTTTTCTATAGCATATATCATTACAGAAAGATCCTGCTGCTAGCTTATATTAATATTATTTTTGTTACTACTGGACTGACTAACCACTAGTTACAGCCTCACCTTATGCATGTAAAATCATCTCTGTATATGAATTAGTTACATTCTCAAAGGCGGTTCATATGACCACTTATTCTTAAATTCAAAGTGCCTAAGGAGTTTATTGGCACTCAAATTCTAAGTAGAGAGTGTTGATCTTATTAAGCTTTTAAACCAAATATACGCTGCTCCTCCCTATTAATGTATGTTCTATGAGACATTTTAAAAGCAAGACACCTGTTTTGGTTGACATTAAAAAGTCTTTTAAGATTTTCTTGATACTCTCAGCAAAGGGCTGTGGGGGAATTTCTATAGGCTTTCTAGTCTCTTACCTGCATCCCGACATTCTGTTGTGTATTAAGGGCAGATTCATCAGCAGGGCCTTAATCAGGAATGCCGCTCAGCTTTTGATAGGCTGTGCTGCGGTAATCAACAGGCTCTAAGTCTCGCTAATTTGTAATGACAATGATTTATGTCTCCCTCACTTGACAAATCACTCGACTCTTGGCTAGACTGTTGCACTCCCCTGTTCCTACTCATTCTGGGTCTCAGGCAGTCTGGAATATGCTGTTCCCATAGCAGGGGGGAAAAGCAAGAGAGCTGCAAAAACCGGCAGCGATTCTTGAAACATCTGCTTAGACTTGGCTGTCGCCTCGCTTCACTTGCACTGGGCGGAGCCACGCCGCAGGCCTGAGCTGCAGCCCACAAACACACGCGTCAGTGTTTCTGCAGCAAAATGTGGTAAACAACCTGGAAGTGAATATTTGCAATTAGTACAGTCTACTAGACCATGCTTAATCTTTAAGTTATCGAATAAACCCTGGGCTAGAATTGACATTAAGTTTATAGCTCTCTGACATTTTTGTAGAACCTCTGGTCACATATGCAGATGTTTTCCATTTTTATCATTTACTTTTTCTTTCCTTGTCGTCAGTTGTATCTTGCAGCATCTTTTGCATTGTTCTTTTTTATTCAGAGTCTCATTCTCAAAACATATCAAAATTAAACAGTATAACAGCCCTACTGTAGACTAATGAATAATTTGGCTGAGGTGGAAACAAATGCCTTCTACTGGGGGAGAGTAAAGTTTATAGGTTTTTTTTTTTCTGTGTGATGGAGCATCGCTATGGAGCTTTGTAATATATACCTTAGAGAACTCCTAAATATGGGACTTTTGACTCTTTAAAGCACTGTATGTTAGTATATAAATTAAACCAGCCACTATGGTGAATAGTAGACAGTTGTGCTTGAGAGTTTTTAATCCTGCTTTTTTTTTTTTTTTTAATCTAGGAGTCCAGGGCATTATAGAGGCATATCGGGCCTGCCTTCCTCAGATAAGACTATATGGACCGACTAATTTTTCTCCAATCATAAATCACGTGGCCAGATTTGCCGCTGCAGCCACGCAGCAACGGACAGCTTCTGTGAGTGCCCTGTTGCCAGGGGGCAGGGAGAGCGTAGACTGGGAGTTGGTCCCAGTGCCACTCTGCTGTTTATCTGGTCTGTTAAGATGCAAAGACGGGGCACGAAGCGATGATGTGTCATCCTTGGTTTGGGAGTAACATCTGTTGTTAAATCGGTGATCGTCAAAAACAAGAGAACAGCAAAACAACCTTTATACTTAATGAGCTTGTTCCCTATCTCTTGAAATAATTTTCCTGGGTAGGTTCTGGAAAAAAATGTTATTTTTAAGTAGACTTAGCAAGTTAAGGCTTGAGGAGACTTGCCACTTCAGTCGCTGTTGCAAAATGCCTGTTTGACCCTGGAGAACCAACCTCATTCAGCTTCAGTATCTTCAGAAGTGAGGCAGGGATAACTGCCTCATACAGTTATTGAAAAAAGTGTGAGGAGATAAACCATGAACACTCAGCACCTGATAGCTACTATTCTAATCCTTCTTTCCATTCCAGATGTAAATGACCCAAAAGATGGAGTCACAACTTCATGTCACATTTTATCACTCTCTAAAATGATTTAGCAGAGATGGCAGGATTGAGAGAAAGATTCCCTTCTGCCCCTCCCTGAACCATATCCATTTATTCAAAAGCGTATTTTAGCTTGATAAACAATTCTACTTCCATACTGGATCTTTTATGAATGTAGTTGTTGCCAGTCCCTACCTTGATAGGTACTTTGACATATCCGATCCTTCAGTTAAATCAAAATGTTTCCGTGCTAACTGAAAGTTTCATCTTTGCTTCTGTGTATTTTTGCCAGCCTTCTTCTGTGGTCTGTTGAACTTTTAATTAACCTACAGTTTTCGTATCAGTTAATTTCCTTGTCATCAGAGAATCTTAGAAGATTTCATGTAGATGGTATCCTGGGTAGAGACTGACAAGGAAAATGAGCGACGAAATGACTCATCCGCGGGAGATGTCATTAACCGTTGCCTTTATTCTCGGGGAGCTCAGCTCGCTCAGCGGACATCATTGTCTTTTTTTGGCAGCAATATTTTGTGCTCCTGATCATTACTGACGGCGTGATCACAGACCTCGATGAGACCAGACAGGCTATTGTTAACGCTGCCAAGCTGCCCATGTCCATCATCATTGTTGGTGTTGGAGGTGCGGACTTTGGCGCCATGGAGTTTCTAGATGGTGATGGTGGAAGCCTCCGCTCCCCGTCGGGCGAAGTAGCCGTCAGGGACATTGTCCAGTTTGTGCCTTTCAGGCAGTTCCAGAATGTGAGTACCACGCCTCCCTGCTCCTCACGCGCCCCCAGGCGTTTGAACAGACACCTCTGCCCGTCCATGGCCTGGCAGTTACGGGCAGATGTCTGGAGTTGCCATGCATATATGCTGAGTTGCGTCCCACTCCTGGCAGCCCCATGGTCTGCAGCCCACCAGGCTCCTCGGTCCAGGGGATTCTCCAGGCAAGAATAGTGGAGTGGGTTGCCTTTTCCTCCTCTAGGGGATCTTCCTGACCCAGGGATCAAGCCTGGGTCTCCTGCAGATTCTTCAACACTGAGCTAGTAGAGTGTGTGAATTTTCCATTTGAAGAACCTTGATTTGATTTGGCAGGTTTTTTCTTCAGTCTTGTGTGCCTCTTATAGTCCATATGATAAATTATTTAAAACGATGTTGTTGTGACTGCTGTTTTAAGCTATATTTTATCTTTATGTATGTAACAAGAGAAAAACGATGTAAGTATATGATGGATTTACCAAACTAGAAGTTGATTTGATGAAAAATCTCTGAGGAGACTTTTACCCGGACGACTCTAATGGTAACATCTTGTAAAACTATGGTCCAGAATCACAACCAGGGTATTGACATTGATACAATCCAGGTCCCTCATGGCAGGCTTCCTCATGCAGCCCTTTTACAGTCACACCACTTCCTGGCCACCTTCGTTCCCTCCTTAACCCCTGGCAACCCCCAGTCTGGCCTCCTTTCTATATTTTTGCCATTTCAAGAATGCTATATAAATGAAATCACACAGTGTGTAACCCTGACATTGGATTTTTCTTCACTCAGCTTAATTCTCTTAAGAGTCTTCCCACTTGTTGAGTATATTCCTTTTTTATTGCTGAGTAGTAGTCTGTGGTATGGGTATACCAGCTTAACCATTCACCCATTAAAGGACATCTTCAATTGTTTCCAGTTCTCATCTGTCACACACAAAGATGCTATAAACATTGTTGTGTGAACATAAGTTTTTATTTTTCTGGGATAAATACCCGTAAGTGCAGTTGCTGAGTTGTATGGTTGTTGCATTTTAGTCATTAAAGAAACTTCTCAACTTTTCTGGCATAATTATGTCCTTTTACACTCCCACGAGCCAGTGTGTGCTTGGGAGTGGGTGGAGGGGAACGAGGTGGGTGTGTATGCAAAAGGTGGCTGTGTTAGGGATCTTTGTGATAGTGAAGCTGTTCTGTATCTTGATTGTGATGATGGTTAACAGATAGACCCTGATGATAAAATGACATATACCTGTGTACGCACAGACTGGTGAAATCTGAATATGACAAAAATGTCATATAATGTAAATCATGTCATTTACATAATTATGTCAAATTATGTCATAGCTTTACATTCCCACCAGCCAATGTATGAGTGGGAGTGGGTTGAAGGGAATGAGGTGGGTGTATATTAAAGAAGGTGGCAATGCTAGGGATCTTTGTGATAGTGAAACTGTTCTGTATGTTGATTATGGTGGTGGTTATACAGATAGACCCCCATGATAAAATTACATATAACTGTATACACACAGGCGCGCACACACACACACACACACACACACACAAATGAGTACATGTAAAATCGGTGAAATCTGAGTAAGTTCTGAGAACCGTACCAATGTTAGTTTCCTAGTTTTGTTATTGTACTATAGTTACATAAGATGCTACCTTTGGAGGAAACTGGGTAATGGGTACATGTGACCTCTCTGCACTATTTGTAATTATTTCAGAATAAAAAGTTAAAAAAATTAATACCCAGAGAATGAAAGACCCACATTTAAAAGTTGAAAAGCAAAAGAACCAACATCATTAAATGCCAAAATGCAGGCACCAAAAAAGGACTTGTTAAATGTGAGCATACTAAGGCATTCCTGAGTAACATTGGTTTATTGCATGTTTCGTGGACTATTCTCGAGACAAGATACAAACCTAGAAATTGGAAATTAACTGCTTTTTCCTGGTGGGTGAGGAATTCCTAGTCTTTTATCAAAATCCCAGTTAAAAATTTGGTTGCTAATAAAATTGCTTTGATTTTATCTGTTCATAAGGCTCCGAAAGAAGCACTTGCTCAAAGCGTCTTGGCGGAGGTCCCCCAGCAGGTGGTGGGCTACTTCAACACATACAAACTGCTTCCTCCCAAGAACCCGGCTACTAAATGAGAGGTGCTCTGGCCGTCCCAGCAGGATTCCTTTGTAAAGCTGTGTGGAGCAACAGATTTCTCTCCATCCCAAATCGTGAATCTGTCATCTTACACCCTTCTCGCAAACCCCACCATTTACGATGCAAACCTAGTTCTCTATGGAGTATGTCTATTTAAAGCATTCTTTTTATACTTTTTTGGAGGAAAGTGCTAACTTAGTCTTTGCCCAATCAATTCAGTGATTGCTAGTGATTTACAGTAATTGCAGTGAGGCTATTTGGATTAGAAACCGGTGTGAGAAAAGTAAAGGTTCTTGTTTGCTTTCATATGATGAAAATGCTGTTTTTGAATGTTTGTCAATGGAAAGAACGGGAAATTGTTGGAACAATGTGATGTACAGGTTGCTATGCTCTGCTCTAGGTGATAAATGTTTTATAAGCTGATGTCCACACCAGATGACGAGTTTCTTAAATTAGATGATACTGAATTTGTATCTAGAACTATATTTTATGCTTTTCCATGGGATGAAACTACCTTCACCTGTGTGTGAGTTTTGCTGCAACTTAGACATGCACAGTTCAAAACAGAATGCATCCTCGTTAAGACTTCATGAGAAGTCCCAAATTAGAAAGGAAGGCACATACATATTCAGTTCTTAAAAATGTAAAATCACAAGTAAAAGGAACTTCCTGTAAGCCATTTTATTTGCCTGCCTAGGTCTTTCATATAAATTGTTTAATACTCTAAACATGGTTGGATTTGACCTTTTCATTGATTGTATGTGACACTCGGGATTCTGTATGTGCATTAATGATAGCTTGTCCTAGACTCAGCATTATTAGATGATTTCAACTGGAGTTTGTGAAAATGGGTAGGACTGGGTTTGTCCAGGAAAGCTATAAGGACCAAACATGTAAGGGAAAATTCAGAATTCCACTTTCTATTAGTTAATGAAAGACTTTACTTATTAAAAAAGGCAAGCTTTATATTTTCCTTGCAAAGGAAGCATATATTGATTTCTCCATTTGTATAGATTCATTTAGATATTTTCTCCTTTTTTTTTTAAGTTTTAAAGACATTTTTACTCTGGTTTTTTAAAACTCATGATAATGGTTATTAATCAAAACCTTATTTTACATTTTAATGACATGCTGCTTCCTAAGCCCAGAATGTATGGTATTAAGCAGAAACCTATTATAACTTAAAAAAAAAATTCAACTGCTGCATAGGATAGAGTGGACTTAACATGCTTTTTTTTTTTTTAGTTTTTTTTTTTCCTGATGTTTACACTTTAGAATATAATACTTAGCAAACATTACCTTTTCAGAGTAGATTAAGGTTTTACTGAGGACCTGTGTGCCAAGTACTATGCACGTCCATATGCTGGCCGGTCATCTTGGACATCTGGATACTGAGGACGGCATGTCGGTCACAGATCCGTAAGTGGATGCACCCTGTGCCGACGTGCCTTCCGGTCTCACTGAAAATGCACCACCGCGTGGGTCTTGTGTTCCCTGAACTGTTTGAAGGAAGCGAGCCTCAGCCATGAACAGCTTTTGGCTTCTCAGAAGCCGCTCGTTGCCCAGGTCAGGGAGAGGGGGTCTGCTGGCTGTCGTGGGTGCCCGCCCCAGGTCAGGGAGAGGGGGTCTGCTGGCCGTCGTGGGTGCCCGCCCCAGGCGAGCAGTTGGCGCTTTCCCACCTAGCCAGCTGGCCTCTGGACGTGCGCTGTTAACCTGAAGGTACTTAGCTAGTCGTCTGTCACCCTACAGTATGACTCATTGGATGGCAAGCCATCTTGGCGTCAGCCAGGAGAGGAGTAAACTGCTGACTCTTCCAGGAGTTCGCAGCCTTCGTTGTCTAAGATGTCCTACTTTCAGTTCTCTTTGTGTCCTGGGGAACAGCATGTATATATTGCTTTGGTTTTCAGAATTTTCTTTTTTGAACATATGCGGCCTTTAAAGGAAACATTTGCATGTGAGCTCAGTGTATTGGAAGACAGGAGTAGAGGTTCTCGTTTGAAGCTGGGGTGGGGTCCGGGGGTCTAGGGCTCACTGGGCCCCGTCCTAAGTCTCTTGAACCCGATCCTGGTGCACCGCGGTCGTCTGCACAGGGTACCTGGGGACCGCTGGTCAAAAGCATTCATTGCTTTCATCAGCCAAATCAGCGTTCTGTCACCACTGTCATTGATTTGGTCTTCATAACTTTATATTCTGATTTTAACCAGAATTGTTCCCTTTTGAAAATTAATTTTATATTATGCATTCTTGATTTGCTTCATCAGTAAGTGCTATTATTCAGAAGACCTGTGATTCCAGTAGATTAGGGGAATTGATACCTTTTTGCAGTTTTGAATAAAAGCATTTATAATTTCTAAATTATCACTTATAAAATTCTTATAGCTTCAACATTTTATGTCATCACATGCTGATTTAGTATTGTTTTACATTAAAATAGTTCTTTTCCCTATTGTGCTACCATTCATTCAAGTGCCATTAAAGTCCTTAAAATGCATTTAAAGAAAAAAATAGCCAAGTTGACTTTCACATCTCATACAAACAGATATATTGCAAACATATTTGAGGGTGACTGTACCTTGGGTGGATGTAATATTTCTCACATCTGCCTGTACTGAGAGAATAGCAATTAGCATGGTCATGTCACCTTGTGCTTGGAATTGAAAATTTTAAGATCAGAAAAATTTAAAGTCAGATCAGGGATTTACAGCTGTCTACTTTGGTAGTGCCTTAGGCAGCCTTTCCAGAGTAAATTCAGGGCCCCCTTGTTGCCTGTGCCTTATTTAACATACTTTGCCATATTAATTGTGTAAATTTTCTGGAAAATCATCTTCAATAAAATATCTCCTAGTCTCTTTATATGTGTGGTTGGTAGTCATGGAAGTGACACATACGGTAAACCAGAAGTTTGGTTGAAATCTTGAGAGACTCTTGTGGTTTTATGTCATATTTGGTGATAAGTGTGAAAGTTACTAATATATGAATTGATGTTAAGTATATCTTCCATTTGGATAAAGTCATTTCTTGATGTGTTACAATAGTACCTTGTTTTTATTTTTGTTTTTTCTTCAAATGATATTGGTCGAAAAGTTAGAAATAAAGTTAGTGCTTTAATCAGCCTGTATTCCATGTTTTTCTGAATTAAACAGTTTGGGGGGTTTATTCTTTTATGGGGTGTAATCACTTAAAGATATTGATTGTATTCAAGGTATTTTTCAGGGTACAGTAAGGGAACAGTCCTCAGCTTAACTACAGTGCTTGCATGAGAATTACAGTGCTCGTATTTTATCAGTTGTATTGGGCATGACAGTATATTCACTTAACTTTTTTTTTTTTAAGTTGCTTCTATCATGTTGCAGTGATCCGCAAGCTCTTGGGGGAACAGTGGTGACCTCAGTAGCCAAAGTTGCCACCTTCATGGAAATAATGGACTGGAAGAACAGGGGTCTCCTGCATTGCAGGCGGATTCTTTACCAACCGAGCCACCACGGAAACCCAATCGTTTAGTACTAGCAATCAACAGGTGAAGTCAAAGTGAGTGATATTTCTTACTAACCTCAAAGAGTTTATGATCTAATATGAGAACGGAGACAGTACATGACGCTAAAACAAGAAAGGAGCAAGGCGAGGCAGCTGGCTGTAGGAGCGGGCCTTCGCCCGCGGACCTCGCGGATGGTGCAGCCTGCAGAGCCCGCAGGCTCGCTGGGGCCCCGGAGCCTGAGAGCGGGTCCTGGGCCCCGCGCGCCGCGGTGTGCTGTGCCTGCTTGCCCGTGGCCTGCGCCAGCTGCTGCCTGAGCGCGGAAAGGAGCCTCCGGCTCGGGGGCGCAGGGCGCTTTGATGGTCCCTGCGAACGCCCTCTGCATGACGCGTAGAGGCAGCGGGGACCCGTAGAGGCAGCAACCGACTCCTGCCCACACTGCACCCTAGCCCTTCAATCCTCTGTGGTCAAGAGTTCAGTTCAGTCACTCAGTCGTGTCCGACTCTTGGCAACCCCATGGACTGCAGCTCGCCAGGCCTCCCTGTCCGTCACCAACTCCCAGAGTTTACTCAAACTCACGTCCATTGTGTCTGTGATGCCGTCCAACCATCTCATCCTCTGTCGTCCCCTTCTCCTCCAGCCTTCAATCTTTCCCAGCATCAGGGTCTTTTCCAATGGGTCAGCTCTTCACATCAGGTGGCCAAAGTATTGGCGCTTCAGCGTCAGCATCAGTCCTTCCGATGAATATTCAGGACTGATTTCCTTTAGGATGGACTGGCTTGAGCTCCTTGCAGTCCAAGGGACTGTCAATAGCCTTCTCCAGCAACAGTTGGAAAGTATTAACTCTTCGGTGCTCAGCTTTCTTTATAGTCCCTCACATCTGTACGTGACTACTGGAAAAAACCGTAGCTTTGACTATTTGGACCTTTGCAGGCAAAATGATGTCTCTGTGTTTTAATACACTGTCTATGTTTGCCATAGCTTTCCTTCCAAGGAGGAAGTGTCCCATCGCTTCATAGGAAATAGAAGGGAAAAAATTGGCAGCAGTGACGGATTTTATCTTCTTGGGCTCCAAAATCACTGGGGACAGTGACTGCAGCCATGAAACGAAAAGGTGCTTGCCCCTGAGCACTTTCTGGCCAGATGCTCCTCCCTCCCTGGCCTCCAGGGTCCGCTGCGCCGACCAGGACCAGGCGGGGCCTGCTCTTCCTCACCAGCTGCGTCTTCACGGCTCTCCCTCTCATCTCCACGTCCTCTCTGTGAACCCGTCTTCTGACTACACCCCTCTTCTCTCAGACGCCTCTGTCCTTGGGAACTCAGTCATTCGTCTGCATCTTCTGAGCAGTTCATACCTGCATTTTCTGAACAAGTCCTTCATGTTTCTATTCTAGTGAAAACCTGGCTGTCTTTAAGAACCTTCCCCCCTCTGCAGCTCTCTCGAGTGGTTCTTCTCTCTTCCCGATCCACCGCTGGGCTTGGAAGCCGGTGAGGTGTACCCCTAAGTTCCCCTCTCTGCTTTCAGATGACCTTCTCCTACTCTAAGACAACCAGCTCTGATCCTTGGACTAGACCACACTCTGTCCCTCATCCTCGTAATCGTTTTCTCCCGCTTGCCTCAGCCCTTACTCCTAAGGTCGTACCTGGTCATTATCAATTACAACGCCCTCCCTAATCTCAATTTCAGGCACCCCAATTTTCTAGCAATAACCCACTTGCCAGCTTACTCCCTCTAGTAGTAAAACTCCAACCAGTCATTCTCCATCAGCGCCTTCAATCCACTAAACCTTCCCAGTGCTCAATGACTTTGGTGGCGTGAAGCCCTCCTCCTTTTCTAGACTACTTGGTCTTTGCCTTGGCCACTCTGCTCCCACCACGCGGGCGTTCTTGCTCTTGGTTAAGTCTGCACGGCATCCTCCTGGCTCAGGGCTTTCTCGGTGCTGCTCCCCTTCCTGCAGAACCCTTCCTGGTCGCTGGTGAGCCTTGCCCCCTCACCTCTTTCAAATCTTCATTCCAGTATCAGGCAGTGAGACCTTTGCTGACCATCCTGTTTAAAATTGTACCTCTCTCCCCAGAACATTCTGTCTCCATTCTGTGCTTAGGTTTTTTGTTTTTTGTTTTCCATAAATTTAATTTTTATTTTATATTGGGCTATAGTTGATTTACAATATTGTGTTAGTTTTGGGTGTACAGAAAAGTGATTCAGTTATACATATGCATACATCCATCCTTTTACAAATTCTTTCCCCATTTAGATTATTACAGAATACTGAATAGAGCTCCCTGTGCTATACAGAAGGTCCTTGTTGATTATCTGTTTTACATATAGTAGTGTGTATATATGAATCCCAAACTCCGCCTATCCAGCTTTCCTTCTTCCTGCAAACTTTCGTCTTTGGTAACCATAAGTTTGTTTTCAAAGTCTGTGAGTCTGTTTCTGTTTTGTAAATAAGTTCATTTTTGTATCATTTTTTTTTTAGATTCCATGTATAAGTGATATCATATGATATTTGTCTTTCTCTGTGTGACTTACTTGACTTCATATGATAATCTCTGGTTGCAACTATGTTGGTGCAAATGGCATTATTTTATTCTTTTTCATGCCTGAGTAATATTCCATCATATATATATATACACACACACACCACATCTTCTTTATCCATTCCTCTGTTGAAAGACATTTAGGTTGCTCCCATTTCCTGGCTATTATAAACCACACTGCAATGAACATTGGGGTGCATGTATCTTTTTGAATTGTGGTTGTGGTTTTCTCCATATGTATGCCCAGGAGAAGGATTGCAGGATCATATGGTAGTTCTTTGTTCATTTTCTTAAGGAACCTCCTTACTGTTCTCCATAGTGGCTATACCAATCTACATTCCCACTGACAGTTTGGAGAATTCGTTTTCTCCACACTCTCCATGATCGTCATTTTGACTGGTATGAGGTGTTACCTCTTTGTAGTTTTGATTTGCATTTCTTTAGTAATTTGTGATGTTGAGCATCTTTTCATGTGCCTCTTGGCCATCTGTATGTCTTCTTTGGATAAATGTCTGTTTAGATCTTCTGCCCATTTCTTGATTGGTTTGCTTGTTTTTTAAACACTGAACTGCAAGAGCTGTTTGTATATTTTGGAGATTAATCCCTTGTCAGCCACATCATTTGCAAATACTTTCTCCCATTCTGTGGCTTGTCTTTGCATTTTGTTTAATGATTTCCTTTGCTTTGCAGAAGCTTTCAAGTTTAATGAAGTCCTGTTTGTTTATTTTTGTTTTTATTTTGCCTATGTTTTTCTCTAAGGGTTTTATAGTATCTGTCTTACATTTAGATCTTTAATTAATTTTGAGTTTACTTTTGTGAATGATGTTAGAGAATGTTCTAATTTCATTCTCTGATATGTAGCTGTCCAGTTTTCACAGCACCACTTATTGGAGAGACTATTTTTCTATTCTATATTCTTGCTTCTTTTGTCATTGTTTAATTTGCCATAGGTTCATGGGTTTATTTCTGGGCTTTCTGACCTGTTCCATTGATCTACATTTTTCTTTTTGTACGAGTACCATACTATATTGATGACTGTAGCTTTGTAGTATAGTCTGAAGTCAGGGAACCTGATTCCTCCAGCTCTGTTCCCGCCCCCCCACCCCCCCAGGATTGCTTTGAAACTGTAGATTGCCTTGGGTAGTATAGCAATTTTGGCAGTATCGATTCTTCCAATCCAAGAACATCTATTGGCATCATCTTTGATTTCTTTCATCAACATCTTATAGTTTTCAGAATACAGGTCTTTTGATTCCTTAGGAATGTATATTCCTAGGCATTTTATTTCCCTGTTTGGGTCTTATTTGTTTTCTTGTTATTTCCACCCACTGACATGTCAGTTTCAAGAAAGCAGGGATTTTTTTAAAATTTTGTTCACTGTCTGGAAAAGAACTTGGCATTAACTAGGCCCTCCCTACTAATCATCAAGAGAATGAATGAATCTGGTATGTATTACAGCACATAGAGGGGTAGAAGTTAATGCATGTGAGAAAACATTGAAGTTTAGAGTGGGGAGATTTTCTTCTAAATCTGGGTATCAGTTAGAACAATGGAGAGATCTGGAAGAACTTCATGGGTGGTTTGGCATTTCATCTGGGGTTTGATGGTTACATAGAGTTTTATCATGTAAAGAAGAGACTCCAGATCAAAAAATAGACATTGTCCATGGGTTGAAGTCAGAAAGTAGGGTGAGCTGGGAACATTATTGGTACAGGGAAATGAACATGTGCTTGTACTAACCCTTTTATTTCATAATTGAATCTTTTTACTCACTTTTACAAATGGCATATCCAAATTGCAATTGTATTCATCTTTCACATTCCTAGTTTAATGAAATCTGTGGTTAGTCCATTTCTGAAGGACAAGATAAATTTGAAAGTTTCCTGTCAAATTTGGAGTATAAATACAGTATTAAAATGGCAGACTTAAGCACCATTTTGCTCTATGAAATCTCAGGAAATGCACTTGTTTATTTCAAAAAGTCCTTCAGGTAGATGCTACTTTTTCAAGCTTGTCCATCATCTTCCTGTTTGAAAAGCAGTGTGGTATCTTTTTTCTTGGATTTTGCCATCACACACACATCTGATATGATCCTGGATTTTGTATTATGTTTTGTATACTAGCAGCATGGAGTAGGAATCTCTAAATTTCAAGTCTGAGGTTTTGGAATAAATAACACAGCTTGGTTTATTGAAAGCTGGGTGCAAGAAACCACATCATGAGTCTGTTCAGTAGCACTTAGCATGCCCTGTGTGCTGAATTCTGTATTACATAGGAGTCGCAGCGCAGCAAGTTTTAGTAAACTTGCAGCAGAATTGTTGTGTGTGGCGGGCAGAGATAACCACAGGAGCAAAGGACAGGTGGGGCTGTGACCTTCCAGGTACACTTCTCTTTCCTCATCTGGGAGGGTTATTGTCTAGAAATGTCAGCTTGTATTTCTTAATGATTCACGTTTATTTGACCTTTGCGGTGTCACCATTCTAGTCACAGAAGTTATAGTAGGAAAAATACTGCCAGTTGTAGAAACTCATAGAGGAAAGTATCAAATTTTACTACAGTGTATATGGGTAGAGTGCTTAAAACTTGAGCTTCAAGTATCTTTTGTCTGATTAGACATAATCAATTTCAGGACAGTATAATGATTAATATCTTCTGAAGATTTTTAAAAATTCCTCCTAGGTAGATAAAAGAATTACTTTTAGTATAGAATAAGTCCAAATTATAGAAAGTATAGACGCTTCTCTTGTTAGCATCCTATGAGGCATTTTTCATGTAATGCATAACTGAAATGAAACATAATATGTTTTATTTTAGGGTTAATTAATACCAGTTAAGTCAAGATGTTCC